ACTGAAAGCGTATTTAATAAAATAGAGTTACTTTGATACATATTTGTTCTACGTAAACGAAAGTAATATTATTTATTTAAATAAATTTTAATATAAATGATTATGTGTCGAGTTTTTGGCCCAACCAAATCTAATTTAGAAATTATATCTATCCACTCGCATTCAATATGAAATTAACTCAATTTTTAGGTCAAAACTTGTATCCGACTCGACAAGGTTTATATATATAATTATTTTTTACTTAAAATAATGATATGATAGAAAATAATATAGAGAGGGATTTTGTAAAAAAATATAATATATAAAGAGATATTATTGTAATTATTTTTAAATATATATAAGAGATCAATATTATATTATATTAGACCGAGTTGAATCAATTTTTTTATTCTAAATCCTAAACATGACTCTAATTTGAATTTTAAAAATATTAACTCGATGAAATCAAATTATGTTAAAACTTATCAAATTAAGATCAAATATCTATATTTAATTTTAAATATTATTGTAATGATTAATGTTTAAATAATTATTATTACCAGAAATTATTTTATTATCTTTATGTAGTAGTTTTTTTATAAGTTTAAAACTTTTTATATTTCCAACCAGTAACAAAGTTCCCTACTACATTTTTGTTGCACAACACTTTTGACTCGTGCTTTTTAATTTTTTTTTCAATTTAAAAAAAAAAGATTTTAGTTCTAAATTTCCACATATTTTCTCTTACGTATATTTATTGGATCTATCAACCAAACCAACCCAACCCTACTCCGTGTAAAAAAAAAGACATATACTTTATGACAGTTTCCACATCATCTCTGGAAGATCAGAACAGAAGAAAATACAAAATAAAAACAATTTTGGAACAAAAATAAAATAGCTTGAAAAGGGAGCTCAGATCTTTCATCAACTCCATGACAGAAGCAGAAACAGATTTAGGAAAAAGCAAGAGACCCATGTAATGCAAATCCACTTGTTTATTCAGATCTTATCCAACAAAATGTGGTGAGTGGCTGCGAGCCACCTCTTCTTTCATCTTCACTGTCTCCTTTATAATTAATTGCTTATGCAAATAGGGGAGTTCTGGGTTTGCTTCTCGTTTTAATACTGTATCTAGAAAAAAAGTTTCCTTTCATGGCCAGGTGAAGAGAATCCATTGATTCTAGTCGGTCGGGTCTTTTTGTACGTTCCATTTAATGGTCAAATGAGGAGTGCCCATCACTTGCCAACTTGTCTTTTCCATTTCCGATTCTCTTCCTTTCTTTTGATCCTATCATATAAGTAGGTCTTTCTTAAACTTGATGATTTTTTTTTCTTTTGAGCTGTGAAAAAAATTAGTCTGGTCTCTCACCCCCTGCACTGAAGTTTCTGCTTTGTTTTCTCTTTGTTTTTCAAAATCCAGACTCGTGAATGTTTAGCTTAAATATGTCTATTATCTTCGAATCTGCTTCCTTTATAGCTTAATAATTTTTAGGGAGGAGTTTAATGGATTGATTTCCTGAAACCCAGAAATCATGCTTGCCTTGGAAACCTGTTTTTCTTTTATATATATCCTCTCTGGTTTTCTAGCTTCTTAGGGTCAACCACATTTTCTTCTTTCTTTTTGGGTTATTTTGTTGTTCTCTGCGAAAAAGACTTCTGGTTTTGATTCTCAACTTGAGTTTTCTAATGGGAAGTGGGGATTTTGTTCGTTTGCTGAGATTTTTTGCACTGTCTGCCCTTTTCCTCGCCGAAATCTGTACGGCTGGCACTCAAAGATATGGGTCGATTGAACCGGGTTTTGAAGGAACTCAAATGAATTGGATCGACAAAGATGGGTGTTTTCTTCTATCTAACGACTCAGAATTTGGTTTAGGCCTTAAAACTACCTCAGATGTCACATTGTTTCTCCTTGTTGTCATGCACATGGAGAACAAACAAGTGATCTGGGCCGCTAACAGGAACTCCCCCGTTTCGATGTCTGATCCCTTTGAGTTCGACAAGAACGGCAACGTGTTGTTGCGGAAAGGAGGAAAAGTTGTTTGGACGACAAATACCGGTGGCAAAGGAGTTTCAGCAATGGTGTTGTTGGATTCAGGGAATTTGGTTATGCAAGGGAATGGTGGCACAGTAATCTGGCAGAGTTTTGCTCATCCTTCCAATACCCTTATTTCAAACCAACAATTTAGAGAAGGAATGACACTTGTAAGCGATCCTACAAGCTCTGGCAACTTGAGCTATATTCTTGAAATCAAGTCCGGCGACATGATACTTTCGGCGGGTTACTCGACTCCGCAGCCGTATTGGTCCATGGGGAAGGATACACGAAGAAACATTAATAAAAACGGTGGGAAGGTCTCTTCAGCATCCATTGATGGAAATTCATGGAGTTTATTTGATGAAAGCAAAGCCTTGTTGTGGCAATTTAGAATCTCGGATCCTGCTGATGCAAATGCCACTTGGATTGCAGTGTTGGGAAGTGATGGTTTTATATCTTTCTTCAATCTCCATGTTAAAGGGTCCCCGGCATCAACTAAGATCCCGGATGATCCTTGTGGAAGACCAAAAGCTTGTGACCCATATAATGTTTGTTTTGGAGCTTTGGGCGACACTAGGTGTGTGTGTCCGTCACCGCTGGCACTTAGATCCGGCTCCTGCAGAACAGGTATCGACTCTCCGTGTAGTCAGGGAAAGGAATCTGTAAGCCTTGTAGATGCCGGAACTGGGCTAGAATATTCTGCAGTCAACTACGTTTCCCCATCATCAAAAACCGATTTGAGTGGTTGCAAAGAATCATGCTCAAGTAATTGTTCTTGTATGGCTATGTTCTACGACAATAGCTCGAGAAATTGCTTCCTTTTTGACCAGATTGGCAGCTTCCAAAACTCTAAACAGGGCCCTGGTTTAGTTGTTTTGGTCAAAATGTCTAGCAATGGAAATGGTGCAGGGGATGGAGGCGGCAAAAAAAGCTTCCCATATATTGTGATTATAGTTGTTGCCACGGTTCTTGTCATTTTGGGCTTAATCTTTGGGGCATATCGATACAACAATAAAAAGAAGAAAATGCCAGGATCTCCTGATGATACGTCAGAAGAGGATAACTTCTTGGAGACATTAACCGGGATGCCTACTCGTTTCACTTACAATGACCTTTGGACTGCCACAAATAACTTCTCGGTTAAGCTCGGGCATGGAGGATTTGGCTCGGTATACAGAGGAACTCTTCCAGATGGAACTCAAGTTGCTGTGAAGAAACTGGAAAACATCGGTCAAGGAAAGAAGGAATTTCGAGCTGAAGTCGGCATTATCGGTAGTATCCATCATGTTCACCTGGTGAGATTGAAAGGCTTTTGTGCTGAAGGAAACTATCGACTTCTTGCTTACGAATACATGGCGAATGGTTCCTTAGAAAGATGGATCTTCAAGAGAAACAGAGAAGATGCCCTGCTGGATTGGGGAACAAGATTCAATATTGCAGTAGGAACAGCTAAAGGGCTAGCTTATCTCCATGAAGATTGCGATGCAAAGATTGTGCATTGTGACATAAAGCCAGAGAATGTATTGCTTGATGACAATTTCGTAGCCAAAGTCTCGGATTTCGGCTTGGCAAAGCTAATGACTCGAGAGCAAAGCCATGTTTTCACCACTCTAAGAGGCACCAGAGGGTACCTTGCACCCGAGTGGATCACAAACTACGCCATATCAGAGAAGAGCGATGTCTACAGCTACGGCATGCTACTACTCGAAATCATCGGCGGAAGAAAAAACTTCGATCCGGGAGAATCTTCAGAGAAATCTTATCTTCCATCCTATGCTTTCAAGATGTTAGACGAAGGGAAGCTGACAGACATCCTCGATTCGAGGCTGACCATAGAAGGGGAAGATGAGAGAGTTTATACTGCAATCAAAGTTGCATTATGGTGCATACAAGAAGATATGCATCTGAGGCCATCAATGACAAAAGTTATTCAAATGCTAGAAGGTCTCTCTCCAGTTCCAAACCCACCATTTTCATCGCCATTAGGATCTCGCCTTTATTCGGGTTTCTTCAAATCGATGACGATGAGTGGAGAGGGGACATCCTCGGCCTCGGCCTCGGCACCATCGGACTGCAACAGTGATGCTTATCTTTCAGCTGTACGGCTTTCTGGTCCAAGATAACAATCACTTAAAACAAGGGAGGTTACCGGGATTATTTTATGGATTTGTATTATCAAATACGATGTTTAACATCTCATCCGGCTTGTATATTTATTAGATTATTATTCAAAAATTTTTGTAATATCAGCCATTAGCTATAATACAAGTTAAGTCTTAGTGTTGATTACAACTCTCCTAGTTTGGAGGCTGACGATAGTGACTGAAAATAATTATAATTAATAATAAGATTATTAAAAAGAAAAACCAAACATAACCAGAAATCTTTATCTTGTCTTAAACCGGTTTAATCGTTTAGGTGATTATGTTAATTAAGCAAATAATTTGGCTATAATTGGTTTTAACTAGTTTAATCCATTGAATTATGATTATCAAAGGTCATGGGGAGAGTGGAAGAGCAGTATTTAGTTACTTAACCGTCCGTAATTCTCCGAACTTTCAAGTTAAAGAAAAGTATAAAGTACACAAATGGTATTATGATTATTTGACGTTATTTTGTTGAGTTTTTCGATTATAAGACATTGTTTTATTGAGTTTATCGACTATTAAAGATTACGAAATAGTAATTCGATTATTCATATGTTTCAAACTCATTCTTTTTCGTAAAAAGATTAACAACAGTCTGAACTGGACGTTAATCAGTAGTTAAGAGATTTAATAAAATATTTTTTAATCATAAAATTATTTTATAATTTTTAATAACCAATAAACTCAATAAAATAATATTATATAATCGATATCACACAAATAAACCGTATTTTTGATCATCTAAAAAAACGTATTTTGACGGGGGAGTGTCATTTTCCCTTTGGAAATGGATTTAAAAGCCGCTCGTATAAAATACCTTTCGGGCTTCAAAGAAATAGTGGAGAAAGAGGGGCTTAGATCCTTTAACCTTACTATCTTCCTTTTACACAGATCCTTCGCATTTTCTTTTACTGATTTATCTCATTACTCTTCTTCTCGGCTTCATGGAGTGTTGATTTTTCGCTCTCTTTACGAGGTAAGAAAGAAAACCAGTACAAGTTTCTTTTGTTTTCTGAATTTCTTGTTGATTTGGTTCCTAAGAAACACGGAGGGATTTAATGTTTGTTATTTGGTAAAAGTAGATTAATGTGAAGTGAAATGTGTTAGTTGTTTGGCGGCGTTGGAGATCTCTGTGTTCATCGGAGCTTTGCTTAAAGCCATTTTCGATTCCGCCTTTAAAATAAAATTCAAAGCATGTTTTTATTTCGCTTTTTGTTAACTATTTATTTGCAAATCATAGATCTAATTTATTGTTCTTTTTGCGCATTTTCCTTGAATGTTATTAACGCGTTAGGTATTTTACGAATATCCGTATTTGATCTCTTAGAAAAACTGAACGTAAATTGGGGAAGGAAATAGAAAAGGAAAAGCGTTAACCAATTGGAGCCATATTTATCCTTTATGAAGTTGGAATAGATGGATGTGGATAGACATAGACCAATTAAAATTAGCAAATATTGAAATTTGTACTGCTATGAGGGTTTGAGAAATTTTAAATTAGGTTTACATTTTTGACAGTGTGATGGATTCAGAAAATAATTTGTCTTCGTTTGGGCACGAAGCTGCCCAGCAAAATGGTGTTCATCCGCAACTTTGGGTGCCTGGGGATGGTAGTGGTTCAGATAATGTGGCTGGGAATGTTGAGGAAACCAATGAAATTTATTTGCAGAATGGCGTGGATGACAATGGAGCAACCGAGGAAGCTACAGAACGATCCAATGACTTGGTGGAAAGCAGAGGATTGGTTGATTCTGAGGTATTAAAAGTCTGATTATCAAATGCTTTTATTAATTGCCATTAGCTTGATATCATATTCTGGAATGTGTCTGTATTTGTAGGAAGGAGAAATAAAGGATAATATGAAGCAATCCAAACCTCAGAAGGTTCAAGGAAAGACCAAGAATGAGAAGCCACTGGGTCCCAAAAATGTTCATTCAACTTTGGTCAAGAAAAACAAAGATGGAAAAAGTACAGAGGTGACATTAACATCTTCAAATGGGGGTTCTGTTTCTACAAATTCAGGTCCTAAACTGCCTCTTAAAAATAGACCATTTAATGAAAGACAAGCCAAGGCATCTAAGGTTAGAGTTGTAAGCATTTTCTGTTTCTTTTCCTCTTTTCTTTCGTTAATTCTTGTTACTGCCTTTTTGAACATTGCTTTTTTTCTCACTTCTTCCGACAGCAGTCTAAAATCTCTGATGCAGCCTTCTCTGAAGGAACTATGTACGTGCTAGTCATGCTTATGTTTCAATTTCTTAGCTTTCCGTTTCTTTCACGCAGCCTTTTGTCCCTTGTTATTGATTTTGCTAACCAACTGGAGAGGGAACTTCACAGTGGTTACCTTTTATCTGTATATTTTCTCCTGAAACATTATTGCTAGATGATGACAGATTTTTCTTCTGTCATTTTTGTTCCGTTCTATTGAATTACAGGGAGAGATCCAAGCTGAAACCTCTCAAGAATGGGCCTATTACTAAATATGAAGCAGGCTCAGAGTCCTCGTATCCATTGTAATTTGATTTTTTATTACTTTCTGATTGGGATTGTGGTTTGAAACATGTTGACATTTGAGTATCATTTGCACTGCACTCTATAGGCTTCTATGTCCCAATTCACCATGTTTATGTTCTTCCTTAATTGCTTCTTAGAAGTCCCACTTCAACTGATTCCAAACCTCATAGGGTTGGTACTCTTCCAAATTATGGTTTCAGTTTCAAGTGTGACGAACGGGCTGAGAAAAGGAAAGAGGTTGGTGCTTGTATTATTTTCTCAAGATATATTGTGTATTCTTGCAGAACTTTTACTGAATTCTTCAACATTGTATTGTGCAGTTCTACACTAAACTTGAGGAAAAGATTCATGCAAGGGAGGTAGAAAAGAGCAACTTGCAAGCTAAGTCCAAGGTGTTATTTTGTGAATCTTATGATTTATGATCCAGAAATAATTCTTTCTTGTCATAATAATACTTCAATTTTCTTCCAGGAAACTCATGAAGCCGAGATTAAAACGTTTAGGAAGAGTTTGAACTTTAAAGCAACTCCATTGCCAAGCTTCTATCAGGAACCTCCACCTCCTAAGGTGGAATTAAAGAAGGTTAGTTGAATTTTATGATGAATAAAAAACTAGATCATTTCAATATAGAAATTCACATGAGAAAATTTCTCGGTATTTCAATTTTAATACAATGGCATGTTTATTCATGTCATTTTGTTCTTTATTCTTTTTCTTTCTTTTGGGTAAGGTAAGGTAGGGCTGAAATTCTGAACATGAATAGGTGCCTATGTTACTTTCAAGGTTTTAGCTTTAGGTTTGCCACCTTTTCCTGTTGTACACATTTGTTATTCAGGCATTTGCACATGTCTCTGCCCATCATCCTACAAGGGCCATTTTCTTTTCTGCAAAATGCTGTTGCAATTTATATATCAACTTTCATTGCTAGTTGAAGACTTGTAGTTGATACATGTAGCTTTGATGGATAACTTTGAATTGAACATTTATCTTTAATTTGCTTTGGGCCAATCCTGACATGACAGACCACTTTATTCATCCTTTCCTTAGTGTGGATGCATTCATCGTTTTATAATAATATATTTCGTGCTCTATTTTGGATGGTACACATGTTGCTAGCCGTGGTATGACTTTATTTCTAATTTTTATTCATATGGCAGCATTGAGTTTCTCAAGATATGCTACATTGATCTTTTTTCTATTGCCTTGATACACAGATACCATCAACAAGAGCTAAATCTCCAAAGCTTGGTCGAAGAAAAAACACAGCTGCTTTAGACTCCTCCGATTGTAACAGCAATAGTGGCCTTCAATTTGGTTGGCAAAGTTTGGATGAGAAAGCATCTCCAAGTATCTCTGCCAAAGTAACTTCTCATGTCCATTTAAAAAAGCCCCAACGGAAATCACTTCCCAAACTGGCTTCTCAGAAGACTAGCTTGCCCAGTACAACAAATGAGGAAAATACGCTTAAGGCATCCGATCAGCTATCCGTAACTGCATCTAAGGCAACTATCGAGGGAAAGATAGCCTCAGGCTCATCTAAAGTGACAAACGAGGAATTATCTCCACTCCAACAACAGGAGGCAGTTTCTAGAGCTGATTCAGGTGGAAGTCAGCCCAAAACTGATCAAAGGCCAGTGATCGAAGAGCAGGGACGACCGGAGTTGGTACAATAGTGCCATTGAGCTGAAGCACTAAGCATGGCAGTGATTTGAAGTGGATGTTCATGTTCAAAGCTCTCGACCTCGTTTTGTGTAAATAAGGATGTGTCTAAAGACTGAATTTATTTGATGAATCAAGGCATGAAAATTCTGTAGTATGGGTTAATGATGTTTTCACCAATATTCAGCAGCTTTGGTGGTTTCGTGTGTCAGCCTTGCAAAGGTTGTGCTGAGCGGATTCGTTCGTTTCACCCAATTGTATGTCAATCCTCCTTTACTTCCGAGTTGTCCTAATTTATGTTGCTTTTTTAAGGATGGCTTATTGAATGTATAATTTTAAAAAATTCTGGAGTCGTATACTGTACCGTTTGATGATCCATGATCTAACAGTGTTTGTCCAAACCAAATGAAAACTTGGTATTGTGAATAAATGTCCATTTTAAAGACGAGTCTGTTACATTATGAAAACATGCTTCTTTTTTTGGTTTTCTTTTTCTTATGAAACAAGAGACTACACTATTTGCAGAGACTATGAGCAACGTCCAGCCTACCGCAATCAATCGACTTTCAGGTAATTTTCTTCTTGTCTTTTCTCTTGAAAGTAATTTGGCAAAGTGAGTCAATTTGTGTTTGATTGATGTCATATTATCTGCTGTTATAGCACTATAATTATTCATTAAAATAAACTCGTGTAATATTCGAAGTTTGTATGGAATTGCATATGATCCTTTTTAATCTCAGGTGATTAGGTAATAGAGACTAGTTTCGGTCTAGGAACCAGACTTTTTCTAAGTTATAAAAGCATCGAATCCAGTTCATCTTATGGCACGATTAGAATTTAAATCATCGAGAACACGATACGAGGCCCAGGTAAAGGAGCTTTCCTTTATTCTCTCGTGGCACGATTTGACATATTACTAAGATGATCTAGCAACTGCTATTGTACGTTTAATTTATCTCGAACAGTAGCATTCGGATATAACGCAATCGAGTATTTTAAGACTAATTGGAAACCACAAAGTCCAGCTTTATATAATTGAGATGCTGAACTACATAGTTGAAAAAGAAAGATTGTTTCCACTTTATTGGATGCCGTCTCCAACACTCCAGATTTTTTATTCTTCTTTTGTCGCCTTGTGCTCATCTTCTAAATAAATGCATAGTTTTTATTTATTTATTTTCTCAAAACTTATTTTTCTTTAAAAATGCTTGGAGCGCAAAGTTTAGAACATTCACAAACAGCAGAATTCCCTTGAAGTTGAAATCGAAGGAGCAACCATCATTTTCAACATACATAAAGTTCTTATTGATTATGGTGACAGAAACATACAAGACTTCCAATGGCGTATTTAGTACTCGTTACATTGTTGAGATAGGTTACAGACTACAGTTCAGAGCAAATGGAACAGCAAAAGTAGGGCTTGGCAAAAACAAGGAAAAAAACAACTCAGAGTTGTCATGACAGACTATATAAACTGGCTGCCATGGCCAAAGCCCATGAAAGCTGGACACCAAACTTACTTTGAACCGCAGAAAGCAAACCATAACTAGATGACTCGAGGTTTTCCATCAGCCATTGAAGAAAACAAAACGACCCAACCACCAGGTGTAGAAGAACGTGAGACTCGGACGATAACAGTACGACAAGCTTAGCCCTAGTAGAAATGAAACAAAGCTAAGCAAAAACACCATGCGCCAGAACCCAGCAGCAACTATGTTCTCGGGGAAGTTCGGCCATGAAGAAACCAACACCCACTATTGGGATTCAAAACCTGGTAACAGGTCTGATGAAACGAAACCTGCAAAAAAATAAAAGTCGAGGAGAATGGCCCTATTCCCTGGAAAAGAAGACTGAGCCACGAACTACGTAAGACCCATTTCTGATGGACCCAAAAACTACGCAAACTTCGGCTACTCGCAAAGGCTATACTCGAAGCTTCTTCCCAAGTTGTTTGATAATCCCATACTGCGATATTGTTCAGAAAAGGATATCACACCTCCATAGCTGTTCCACAAGCAGGTCGACTGCACCACTGCTGATCCCCTTGCATTTCTGCAGGTTTAACCCCAAGAGGGTCTGAGCCAAATTTCCAATTGATGGCAGGCTTTTGTCTGATATCATAGTACAACCAGAGACGGATAGGATCTGCAGATTTATCAGACTAGAACGTGCAAGAGCTGCAATTCCTGAATCGGTGATTGAGCACTTGGAGACATCTAGATCACTAAGCAACTGACAGTTCTCTGCAATTGCAATCAAGCTGACATCACTGATCTTACAACAACAATCAAGATTCAGCATCTCTAGTGTCCACCCATGTGAATCAGCCATCTTGCAAATTGCTTTGTCACTCAAATTGAGACAACCACCGAGATTAACCTTCACCAAACCAGCCTCGCAACTCTCGAGCAATGGTAGAAACCCAACATCTGTTATCCCATGAAGCCCAGACAACTCCACATTTTGCAGTTGAGGGCACAACTTCCCCAACGCAGCCAAGTTAGCATCACCAAAACCAGGGCAGTTACGGATGGACAGCGATCGAAGGGATTCACAACTGGATAAAGGAAGCAATCCCAAGTTTAGGTCCCTAATACCCAAGCAGCTCCCAAAAGAAATAGCCTTTAACTTTGGACCACAATTAAGAAGTGAACCAAAAAACCCAAATTGGGTAACCCTGTGGCACTCCTCCAGTTCCAAGCTCTCTAGTGAGCCCGCTGCTTTGGCAAAAGACACCAACCCGTTATCAGACAAGAAAGCACTTTTGCGGAGGCAGAACTGCTTCAAATTTGGGCAACCCTTTCCAACCGCTTCAAGTCCGAGATCTGTCACTCCAATGCAGGCTTTAACAGAGAAAGACTTCAATTTCTGTAATCCATGACCATTGCCCATTACCCAGAAGCCCTTCTCAGTCACATTTGGAAGGCTAGTGAGAGAAAGGTTGGTCACTGCCTTGCCATAGTGTCCAATAACGGCAAGAGAGACATCGGTAATGTTCAAAGCCTGAAGCTTTACTTTTGTGAGGGAATATGAAGCAGATGTCAACAGGCTTGCAATTCCTTGATCTCCAACAAGGGAGCAATCTTTGATTGAAAAAGACTTTAGATTGGGACAGCAGCGTGCTACAGCTTGGATACCTGCATTCCCAATGTTTGCACAACCTTCAATGGTCAGATCAGTCAAATCAGGGCAGCCCTTTGCAATGGCGAGCAAAGACTGGTTAGTGATAGCAGGACAGTGGCAAAGGTCAAGCTTCTGTAGCTGGTGACACCCATCGGCAATCTCAAGTAGACCTTCATCTCCAACAGAAGACAAATTCCACAAAGAAAGAACTCTTAGAGAATGGCATCCACGGGAGATGGCCCTGAGACCAACAGTGGTCACTCCACAACTGGAATTGCTTCCTCGAATGAAGAGCTTGCCCAATCCTCCACGACTAGCAGTTCCAACAGCAATAGCAGCAAGTCTAACATCTGTTGCTTTCTTCCCTTCCAAACTCCTAGAGAGGTACCCACCTCCCTCAACATCCTGAACATCAGCCTCAGAATCAACATCCTTGAGATTCAAGGCTTCGGTGGTCTTATTGTCACTGATTTCATCTCTGTGGATGTTGCTAACAAGTGTAAGCCAGCGCTTGGAAACACAAGCACAGACACTCCTCTCTTTGCCCCCAGGTAACCTTCTGAAGATTTCAAATAAGCATTCATCAGGGATAACCTCGACTGATGGCTTCTTCTGCTCAAATCTATCACCAGAGATAACAAAAGGAGCACTGATGCGGGACCTCTTGCGAGAGGGAAAATAAAAATCCACTTGACGTCCAAGGGACAAAAGGAGACTAGATTCCTTGGGGTTTGGGTAGATCGAACTCCCAGGGAAAAATCATCAGTTCCTGAAAACCAAGAAAAATAATTGATGAGAAAAGAGAAGCCTACCAGAGTAATCTAAGGAAATCATGTTAAAGAATTTAAAAGACATTTCTGATTACATAACATTTGTTGATGGCATAAAGATTTCAAAAAAAAACCAGATTTCTATTAATATCACGTCCAACAAACACAGAAAAGATGAAAAGGAACCTATGAATATTTTCTTAGAGGCCAAACTTTTGACTCCAAAGGTTCACACAGCCCCATAAGGCAAATCCAGAAGATCCATGAACCAGATGGGGCTTTGAATCTAATAACTCACAAATCCATCTTTAATATAGTCCGAAGAGAACCATATATTTCAGAACAAACAACCTACAGCTGAAAAGAACGGCATCTAACCTTAAATCTCGACTGATCCATTCAGAAAGATCGAATCTACAACCAAAACACTTCTATAGTTCTCAAATAGAAAGATGCATAAAACACAAACAGATTCAGCTAAAAAAACACCCGCAACTCCTCTATAAGATAAAAAATCTCCTATAAATTAAACAGCAAAGACAACTTATGAGAGAAAAAAGGGGACTAGTTCTAAGGGAGCCTGATCTATGACTATAACTACTTCACAACCTTGGGTTTTCAAAGAAACAAAATCAACAAATAGAAAATCCTAAAGTCAACTGAGTTCTTCTCCTAGATCCACCCAAATCAACTATTTCACAACCAAGAATCAAAATTCAACCTTTACCTAATCAACCAGGTACCAAAGAAAAAAATCTTTTTTTTTTTGTAGAATAAAATTGGAAATATATCAAAGCTATAAAATTATCAACGATATTTCACATAATAATAAAAAAATCAGTACACTAAGCTACAAAACTACCAAAGATGAAGAATTGACCACTAAAATGAAAGAGCTTTGACATGAGTACAGCTCAAAAAAACCCCGGGAGGTGATATCTGCACCGTTCGCCGCCCAAAAACCCTCCAAAGAGAGAAAAAGGAGAGACCCAGCAAGGATGAAAGCTAAGATTTCAACGTATGTAGCTTGAAGACACGGATGCATGAGATAGATTGGAGCTAGAAGGACATGTAAACCCTATCAATTAGGGTAAAAAAGAGAAAACGAAAAGCGTTGAGGAAGAGCAATGAAAGATGGATGGGGAAAGGAAAGTGGGATGGTTTTTATGATGAAAAGAGAGGGGGTATATGCGACAATACACATTAAAATAACCCACATGCAATGTATTTGCGCTAAGAAAGTGGCAAAGCTTCGCCGTTTCCTTCGTAAACGTTCTCTCTTCTCGTACTCTATTTTTCAGTTTCCAATACCGCCTTTTGCCCTTTTTTTATTATTAGGGTAAATTACAGATTTGATGACTTTTGTTTAAGTTTTATAAATCTATAGTCACTGAACTTAAAAAATATAAGTTTTAGTCACTTATGTTATCGTTTTATTAAGATTTGGTCACTAAAATATTAGCTTCCGTGAGTTAGATGACGTAACACATTAGTAAAAATGTTTAATTTTTATTTTAACACTTGAACTTTTGATAAATTATTAATCATGGATTTTTTTATAAATCTAAAATAGTTCAGGGATAAAATATCAATTTACTCCTTTTTATACCTCTCCACAACTCCATTTTATTTACAGCTGTGACCCTCACAGATCTAAACCCATGCCGCCAACCACCGTTCATCATTGGTCACTACTTTGAGGCCACCATCAGTGAATGCATAAATCCAAACCATTATAAATCGGAGACGAAACACTCTCCATCTTCCTTAACTTCATTTATGTCTCAACCTAGACTTCTCTAACCCAAAAGCACCATGCACACACTGTATATCGACATTGTTTCACTCTTTCCGACCACCGCAGCAGTGGTCGGGTTATCCAAAAGCCTAGACCTTTCTTTTTCTTTTCTGAATCCCGAAAATAAACCCCACATATTTGAAGTGAAACGGGGAAGTGGAGGAGAAAATAAGCTTGGGAAATAAAATATATGGAGAAGATGGGTAAATTGATATTTTATCCCTGAACTATTTTAGATTTACAAAATGATCGATGATTAGTAATTTATCTAATCAAGGGTTAAAATAAAAATTAAAACTTTTTACTAATGTGTCTCGTCATCAAACTTACAACTAACATCTCAATGATCAAATCTTAATAAAACGATAACATAAGTGATCAAAACTTATGTTTTTTTTTTAATCCAATGATCATAACTTTATAAAACTCAAACGAAAATAACTAAATCTAGTTTGCCCTTATTATTATTTCTCTCTCGTTATCACCAAGTGTTTGGACACTCGTTCAAGCTAAGCTCCACATGGATTGTTTAATCCTATTTTGTAATAAGCTAGTTTTAATCCGCTGAACTATTTAAAAAAATAAAATAATATATAAATATATATGTAACACAAATAGTACTTTTATCTAACATTTGAATTTTTTATAAATAACATTTAATCAATTTATATCAGTAGTTAAAGTAATCGTTGTTGTTTTTAGAGTTTATAGGTTCGAGCACTAACGATTGTAAGAGTGTATTAAACGTTCATTGTCAAATGATTGATAATATTTAGAACATATATTGTTTTGTAATCACCTTATCTTAATCAATAAGAAATATAATAAGTAAATACTTCCGTTATTTGATATATTATCTTTTAGATTTATTTAACAAATTATTTATTTAAACTTTTAAATTATATACATATAACCAACTTTATCTAAGTAAAAATAAAAATGAAAATGAAAAATAAAACATAAAAATCGAAATAAACTCAAATAATTAGATTAAAACAAAATATTAGTAGTATTTGTTACCATTCTGGCAACAACATGGAATGTCTTTGGACACGGTTCGACGATGCACCTAATACCTTGTCTCGTATAATATAGTTTTCTTATTTTATATATAACTTTTTTTGACATGATTTTTTTATATATAATTTCAGAAACGCCCAGAACTCTGAATTCCATAGTTGCATGAATAAATGTAAGATGATTTTAAAAAATCTATTATATTTATCAAAATTCTTTTGATAAATTTGAGATGAATATAAAGTAATATTTATTCAAAGATTTTTAATCATTTGATAATAAATGTTTTATATATAGAATGTTTGAATCCAAAATTTTAAATAATAATAATAATTTTTAAGTACGGACGTGGTTGGGTTTTTACCCTTTTATTGATAGATTTTATATCAATTTCAATGTATTTGATAAAGATAATTTACCCCACCGGCTACCCCAACCGACCAACCCTGCCCCTCAAAATCCAAGCTCATCACATCACAGTTATGGACACTCTGACTTGAAAAACCTCTACAATTTGTTTCTTATTTTAATTGATTTCTATAAACTTCGAATTTGATGTTATCTGTTTCGATTGATTTTTTAAAAAAAAATTATAATAAAATATTTTTTGGTTAATTTTAAGTATTGTAATATTTTAATTAAATCAGTAAAAATAACTGTTAATAAAAATTGTTTAAATGTTTGAAAATTGGAAGATGTTTTCTTTTTTAAAACACTCGTGATTGAGGTACAAGATCAAAACAACAAAATATGAAACATATTTCAATTCATCCCGGCGTGGATGGATATAACTTGCGGTCGAGAGTGGTTGTATTTATTAAAAAAAATTAAAATTTTATATATTTAAGATTGTTTTTATATTTTTTTATTAATATTCTATTTTCGTCTTTAAAATTTTATATGTTTGTCACGTCATAAAATTTCTCTTTAGGATTTTTTTAATCCATTAACAACACACATGCATCCTGCTGACGTAACTATTTAAACTAAAAAAACCTTATTCGAACTCAATTTTTTTTAAAGAGAATATTTTTTTAATCACTAAAACTACTCGATAGATTCCGGTTATATATCATCATGATAAATGTTTAAAATTATACAATTATTGATACGAATATATTTATTTTGTATATATCTAAAATATATTATATTCATATGATAACATTATCACATACCAATACTATTGAGAACTTTGTGATTCAACTTGAACCCCTATTTTTACCCATTTTCTCTCTCTTTCATATATGTAAAAATAGTAGAGGTGGGTATACGGGCTACCCGCCCGTTTAGCCCGCGGGTTTTGACGGTGCGGGCTAAAAAGCCCGCATTCATAAACGGTTTTGAATTTTAAGGCCCGCGGCCCGTCCATTTAACCCGCGGGCTAAACGGGCTTACCCGCGGCCCGTTTAATAAAAATAATTTTAAATGCTTTAAATATAATAAAAAATAATGTTTTAACTTACACCACCTTTAAAAATGATCGAACAACTTGAAAATGAAGGTAGCACTGTTAAAATAATAAATAATATTTAAATTTTATTTTAAATAGCCGGAAATGATTATAAAATAATATTTTTTTTAATTTTTTAATCATTAATATATATATATATATAATGATATAATTACTTAAACTCAAATTAAAAAAACAATATTCACTTATATTACCAAATTGAAAAACAAATAAAACAATAACCACATTATACTTTTATAAAACACGATTATTCAAGGCTATAATTTGAATACACAGAAGTGTCTGAAAGTAGAAATTCAAACATAAAAATTTAACAAAATCAAACATTATACAAATCTAACAAGAAAGTTGTCAAGTGTTTCTAATAATTGTATTTTATGGATACTTTAGAGAAATACTAAAACATAATATGAAAATATAAAATAAAATACTTACAGTATAAGAGCAAATTTAAAAGATACAATTATACTAAAATTGATAAAATATAAGTCATTAATTTGTTAAAATATATTTATTTTGTAAAAGTCTTTAAAAGTTGAAAAATATATTTTTAACTTTTTATTTTATTTTTTCTTTCTTATTTTTAATCCAAATATTACGTGTCATGTGATATATTATTAGAATATCACGTGACTTTTTATAATTAAAGAACAAAATGAATAACATACTTCATGAAAAAAAAATAAAGGTCAAAATTAAATAAAAAAAACTTTAAATACCAAAATGATAATGATGTATATTTAAATGAAAAAAATATCAAGCAACGGTAAAATTATGACAAACACCCTAATAAATTTAAGAAGTACAATAGTTTATTGATCAATATCAAGCAATAGTAGCTTAAATTTATGACAATCATATTTATAAGTAATTTATTTTCTGTTTCTATAAAATTCTTTAAGTTTATTTTCTCTAAAATTTTATAAATTTTAAATTAAGCGGGCTTTAACGGGTTTAACGGGTAACCCGCGGTTATACCCATTAAACCCGCGGGTTTAACGGTCCGGGTTAAAAAGCCCACAATTTAAACGGTCTTCAATTTTTAAGGCCCGAAACCCGCACGAATCGCGGATTAAACGGGTAGCCCGCGGACCTTAACCCATATACCCAGCTCTAAAAAAATAGTAATGTTCTCGTGACTTCTGTTGTGTGCAGTGCATTTATAACACAAATGGGGGCCACTTTTACTTTTGTGGCAGAGGAGCCCATAGGCAAGAGGTGGTGTTAATGTTTTGAACATGGGCGTAGGACAAGTGTTAGGGAGTTTTGACTTTTGAGACACATTGTGCTGGACCTACACTCCTTTATGTGGTTATTGATGGCATGTTTCGTCAAATGTGAATACCCTACTGGGTGTTGACTAGCAAAAGTAACGCCAAGAAGCTGTTATAGAATTACAGGAAATATTGCATTTGCCTTGCCAATCCGGAGAAGCTTGTAAACTATATTGTATGTAAGAACAATACAACAGAAAGTAAGAGACGTGGACAATTCAATTGAAAATCGAAAAATATTTCCTTTCTAATCTTGTAACTCTTTGTGCATCATCCAGCTTAAGTTCACAAGCCCTCTTGCTCCCAAATACCAACTAGAAAATCCACCATTTCCTGTCATAGCGAACCCAACAAGGCTTGACGAACTCTACATGGAGGATGAACAGTTCATAATGTCGTAAGAAAATAGCTACTAGGCAGAGAAAAACTTACGGGAAGCGGAATCGGGTGAGGGAATGGCTTATGATCGCCTTGCAAACTCTCGTAGATTGTATTCCAACTGCAATACAAAGAATGAACAAGGCCTGTTTTTAACGTGCAAACAGTGGTTCAAACAACTTGTTATCCTCTCCTTGAGAGGGTTAAGGTCTAAGCTTTAAGTTCCCTCTTCCCTGTTGGACCACCTCTTATGTTCGAAATATACATTATATGCATGGGATGAAAGGTTAAACCAAGAGCATGTACACAATTTAGTAAATTGGGGGCATTCTGAAATTAGGAAAACAATGAAAATTACTAACTTTATCGTGGTTTCTCGAGGTTGCACCCGTTTCTCAGGCCTCTTATTTCCGAGCCATTGTTGCCTTGTTTGGTACCAGAGAAGAAGGCCTGCAAGCAAAACTTTCATCATGAGAAGATTTTACCTCACTGACATGATTACCAAAAGGTAGGCTGATCATTTTGGATAAACTCCGGTAATAAAAACTTGAAACAGCACATGAAAATAGATGAAGCAATAGGATGCTATTCAACTTTAGTAGTATATAGAAGCTAATATATCTCAACTTGCCATGATTTACAAATTCAGAATGTTGACTTGTGCTGCCAGAAGGATCAAGATTCGATGCGTTGTTCGATGACATTCTTCTCTGGGACTGGACTCCTCTATGCTCCATTTCGCATGCACTGCTATTCCAGAAATCATCAGAAAAGCTAGATCTCTTCATTTTCTGGCCCTGAACCCTTAGTCCTTGTGTCGGATCATCCACCGCAGTAATCAGTGAAGGTTTCGCGAAGCACCCAAAACAACCTCTGCTCTGTTACAAACTAGGATTAACCAAGTGCATAACTGGTACCAGGTATCATCTGTAACTTTATCCTTTAAATCTAGCAGCTGGAAGGAAAAGCCATCGTTTTCGCAACCATAGCAGGGAAATAATCATATAAAACAAATATCAAAATATTTGAAACTTCAAAATCTGCGATGTTGAACATAATCAATGAGGAGTCGCGCATGAAACATAGTGAATTCGCGACCATTTTGCCGAGTCAACATGACATGAACTACATATACAACAATAGGTAAGCTGAATAATGCCAATTTTGCTGGCTTAATCTCTCCGAAAGTGGGAGATCAAATTTATGCAGGAGCCAAGTCCAACAACAAATACCACTCAAAACCATTTTCCCTAATACACAAATTTGTGCAGGTAAATAATGCATATTGCACCAGCTTAATCTCCAACCACCATGCAGGGGACCAAACTGAAGGAAAAAGAAGCAACTACCAATATCACTCGAGTCGATTTTCGTAAAAGTTTCAATGCAGAGAATTTATGAGCCCTTATGAATTGTTGGGTCTACACTAAAACAAACAAAAGAAGAACATAAGAAAGAGAAGTAGTCCCTCACACTGAAAACAAATTTGCATTTAGCCTTTAATGCTTCCATATCCAGAGTGTTAGAGCACGTAAATAAGCTCCAGAAAACAAAACAAAAGAACAAAATGGTTTCTTCCCAAAACATCTCTCGGTCTGGGTTAATAAACAACACCTAGGATCCATACCTCCCGTAGAACCCTAAATCCCAAAAGCAAAACCAGAACTCGTGTCGTGCAATCAGCCACCCAATGCTTCAAGCAATGAATGCCCCAAAAATTGGAAACTCTCCCAAACCGTTCCCCCTTCCCTATGTACTCTGTACGTCTCAGTTTATAGCTCGCTTATACAACAAGTAAGCACTAAACATAATCCAAAGATTCCATACTTAAAAAGATAAGAAAAAAACTTGAACTACACAAACAAAACGTTAACAACTTTGTTTTATAACCAATAAAGCTTAAGAGTCAAATTTGTTAATAACCCGCTTAAAAGTACAAACTTTTATTCCTTGCAATAGAAAAAAAATGCAAAAGAAGAAGAAGTCTGACCCCATGCAGGCAAAAAGGGCAGAGATCCAAGTGGGAAGGTAACCAGAAGATTGCATCTAAAATCCCCACAGCAAAACCAAAATTCCAGGAAAGAAATGACTTAAATTCCTTCAAGAGTTCTTAAAAAGGCAATACCTTTATCTTCCAAGTCTTATCCCTGGAAGTTTCTGTTTGAAAATGAAACTAAGAAAGGGGTACAAAGGGTCTTCCGGAAAGAAAGAAAGAAAGGAATGCCATTATCACCTTAAGAATGGCATGTTTAGAATAGATATGGATATTTCGTGATGAAAACGGAAATCTTGTTCCTGGAAAGTAGTTGGTTTCCAGCTTCTTTTATTTACCAAAGCCCAAAGGGCTCTCAGTTTTCTCAAGGTCTCCCTTCTGTTGCCTTCTAACTTAATTTGTTTTCTTGTTTTATTGAATGGCGTAAAATTGTAAGTTGCTTTCAAATCTTACCCTCAAAGTTTGTTACTTTTAGATCAACTATTCCTTTTTCTAAAATTTTAAGATTATAATATGTTAGTTTATATTTAATATTAGATTTGCAATTTTAGAACTGTTACAGTTACAACTATTTTTCAAGGAAAAACAATTTCAGAACTGCTATCAAGAAAGTAGTAACTATTGGAGGAAGGATGTTTGATTTGCTTCCAAGGACGGAAGCTTTGGTGCCTGGAGAAGTTTCAGTCCCTGGAAGCAATGAAACTGAGCCGTCCTCCCCAACATTTATGGGGTAACGAGTTAGGTGACCCAGCGGATCCTCCTCAATTGTTACTCGAGTACAAATTCTAGTTTCTTTCAGCAATGGATTTGAATTCACGGATACAGTTCTTGGTTTCTGGAATAGTGAAAGAGCCATGAAGCTGTCACGCCAAAGAGCCATACGAAGACCAAATGTCTGACCCCTAGCTGGTTGAGTAGTAGCTAAGTGGTGTGGTTGAAATGCTCCCATTGCAATCTCAGTCTCTATGGAACCAGCCATTGATCTCTCATTGATGTTGGCAGATCTGAAAATTATGTATTCGACTGATAAACAACAACAAGAAGTTATAAATAAAAGGTTAGGAGATTTCTGCTAAACTAAAAGTCTAAAACTATGCAGAGTTCCATTACATACCGATCATCATCTTTGAATGAACATAGAACATAAACCGGCAGGCCTGTTGAGCTCTGCCATAATCTGATTTAGGGTCTGGTTTCTCTTTAGGTGAATACTCTTCGGTCTTCTTTGGCTCCCGATTCCCAAGGCAGAAGAAACGTCAAATATCTCGGAGATTTGTATTTGGACTCCTTTTTTGAAGGGCTTGTGCAATATCATGATACATCATTTCAATTGTTCTCCTTTGCCAATCCTAGATTGCCTGAATTGGACCACTCTCTGGTATCCCTACTGGCCACACACGTTGGAATTACATCATTTCAATGTAAATAAAGTTCTCTGCTCAGAGAATTGCATTGATTTAAGCATCTTGAATGCTTTGCATGATGAAGGTATTTTTTTCCCACTGATAAGGCCATTTTTTTCACTATATCACGTTCTTCAGGAAAGCCAACAACAGCCCCATCATTGGTGGATTGAAACAACTGGATGTGCCATGTTTCACGGTTATCTAAAGACAGGTTCTTTGGTGGTCAGACTGTCACTTCGTCAAGCTTGTTGCTAGGAAACAGGATATGTTTTGTGAAGGAAAACCCAAGCAACCGGACCCTCTAGTTTGCAATGAATATCATGCCAAGGCTTTCTTGGATTGCCTTTCTTGATCGAAGAGTAGACGGAGTTTGGCTGATGGAAATAATCACGATGAATGTCGTTCAAAGTCCCAAATAGAGGATGGTTTTGAATATCATATTTCCCATCACAAAGATCAATGCCACCTATTAAACTGAATAACTGTTAGCTTCGCTGATCCTGGATTTGGATTTTCACCGTCAACTATTAGTATTTTCTGGTGGTGAGTAAACTTGGTAGCAACTTTAAAACCCTGAACAAAGGTTCGTTTATAATCAGGATTACAAGGGTAAAGCTCCAACAGGGTGTCGATGGTCTATGTCTTACACCACTTGTGTGGGCTACCCTCGCTTTGTCTAGATCAACTGTTGCATACAGCCGTGGACCTAAGAAATGCAAAAATATGTTATTGAAATGTTTTAGAACACAAAAGATTAAGTGATTAGTGAGAAAGGCCAAAGGATAAGGCAGGCAAGTCATCTTTTCTGGTTGCATTGGAACAATTAGAAGATAGAAATACTGATTTATGCTTTGATACAAACAAGGTATGTAATAATGGTCCCGCTTAAGGGATCAAATCATTGTTATAAAATGAAATGTTTGATTATAAATCTCATGGATAAAGAACCAAAAAGACCGAAGATTGTAAAAATGTAACTTAAGCCAAAAGAAAGGTCAATAATTGAACCAGGCAGGGAAGCCTCTTGATTCATAGCTCTTGAAAGATCAAAGCAATAGGGAATGACTTTCATTCTTATTGTAAGAGATGCATAGTAAGTTTAAATCTTGGTCACCACCAAATGTCATTATTAGCATGGCAAATACCATCAAAGATGTATAGTGGAGAACCAAAATCATTTGCTAATCCACTTACTGAAACAATACCATATTCATACACACCTATATGTATAAGTAAGAAAACTGAAATAAATAGTTATACTAGAGAAATCCATATAAAGCATAGAAAATCATCTTTGAACAATCACAATAGGCCTTAACAACATAGGATAACGGCTTAGACAGCAGAAGTGTACTACAACATTACATCTTCAAAATGGCAGAGTGGCTTTGCAACCTAGAAAAGTCTGATCCAGCAAAAGAATTTGCTGCCGAAACAGTCGAATAGTGGTTATATTCGATCGGCTAGGTACCTTACCAGAGAGTTGATAGGCTTTCCAAAGTCGAAATTTCCGGTCCCCCGGTGCTTAACTTTTATTCGAGCTAGGTAATCAGCAGCAATCCAAGCAAAGCTTAACATCACTACCCCTTCATCACCATCGGACTTCTGGAACTCTAATGTCTTCTTCACCCATTTAGGATGGTAAGTAACCTGGTACCATGCAGATGCCTTTCTTTCATACCACTCATTTTTCTCATCCTCATTGAGCTGCTGAAAGTCCAAGTCCATATTCTCAAAATGTTGTCGGAATTCTTTCCTCAGGGACCCATAAGAATGGCTGAGCTTCTCCTTCAAATCTCCTAACTTCCTACTGGCATATTTAGGCATGGACCAGATATGCCCAGTTACGACCTCTTCTTCCCTCTTAACTTTGTACTGTTGAAGAAGTCCAACTAGTTGTCCATCATAGGAGCACTTTTTAGCCCATGCATCAGCAATGAAATCAGCAGATCCAGTAATTTCAAGAACTGGATCATAATTGATATCACTAGCATCAAAATTGAGCTGGGAAGATTCAGAGACATCATCATCATAGGCATCTTTGACATGACGATATAGTCTTCCCAGAATTTTGCTCGACTTGTACGATTGGAACTCCTCTTTTCCCATGAAATCAGGGTAATGTTTCGGTTTTAAATGAGCAGGCATTGATACGATCTTCCCAGTTTTAGGAAAATCAACAGCTATAGCCGCCAACTGAGCGAGAAGTAAGCATTTCTCATCTTGAGCACCAAATTTGCTAACGTCAGAATGAACTACATGTGCATTGCAAATACTTCCGAGGTGCTCATTCACCATGTTTCTCGAAAAAAACTCTATTATGTCCTGTAGAACAAATGCAAAAGAAAACATAAATAGATTATGTCTTTCACCTACTTGGAACTTAAAATAGTTCAATCATCAGAATGAAAATTGATTACCCCCTATTTTATATATTCTACACAAGCTTATATCTACACTTTCTTGCCATCATTTTATTCCAGTTTCTAACATTTGAGGATATTTCCCTGTTTGCACACTAGGAATTCATGATAAGGTATTCATCATGATACAAATCAGAACATCACATTTCCTGTTTTACATATTATGCTCAAGAATTTACTAGTGTTATTGCCACCTTTTTAACCTCATTTCAGGCAGCCTAAGGAAATTATAGTACCACAGTCAGTAAGCTTGTTATAAAACCATATAAGAATAAATAAAATTTGAACATATAACTATGCACTCAATCATTTATGTCTTTGATGGCAATATTCCTTTTTTTTTTTTTTTTTGATAAGATTTGAAGGTCTCTTTAAAAACCTCCTTCTTGATTAATGAAGCTTGTAAAGAAGCTTCTTAATCATGGGAAGGAGGAAAAGAGTGCCTTATAATTTCATTGAAGAAAATAAGAATTACAACATTGGATAGAAAAATCCAAGAAATACCCTTACAACAATTCTTGAGCCTTAAAACCGAACTATAGAAGTGGACAACATAATAATCAACCTATACCAGCCTTTGCTAGAGCATCGGCATCCACATTAGCTGTCCTTGCAATCCATCTAACAACCCCCCCAACGGTTTTAAGACACTCAACAATATCTCTAACAATGAAACCATAAACAGCTGGACATGGGACAACCTTATTGATCCAGTCTACTGCAACTCTGCTATCACTCTCTATGATCAACCTATCTTGAACTCTCCCTAGGACAGAGGTAAAGAAAGAGATACCCCTTTGGATAGCTTTAAGTTCCTTCAATGTTGGAGGTCCAGAACCATCCGGTTCCTGAAAAGAACCAAGGATTGCACCAGAATGATCCCTCATAAGACCACCCAGACCTGATTTTTCCCAATCACAACTAATTGCTGCATCCACATTCAACTTGATGAAACCCGTAGGGGGAGGAAACCAAGGGGTTATGGAAGACTTCAAGAAATTGTAGGACGAGTAAGAATCCCCTATAGAAGGATCAGAGATTAAGGAGTCCTTAGGAATAGAAACATCCTTATTCTTTGCTAAATACCAAGAGGCCAGCCTAACTCTTGTTAAGAAGAATAATTCAGTCTGATCGAGCTTCCCCCCTTCAAAAACTATGTAATTCCTGAATTTCCAGATTGTCCAAATAACAGCCCCTGGAATGAAAGTCCAAATTACCGAATTAGATTTCAACTCATCCCAAGCAAGAAGAAATTTTTTTGCTTCTGCAGAAAACACAGAACTAAATCTCCAAAAATTTAGAAATTTATTCCACAAAGACCACGCAACCGAACAGGAGAAGAATAGATGCGAAGAAGATTCTTCAACCATTTTACAAAGAGGACATAAGACATCCTCAATACCTTGAACTCCTCTTTTAACCAATTCGGATTTAACTGCAATTTTTTGAAGCACAATTTGCCAAACTAATGTTTCAACTCTAGGGGGAACCAATCCTCTCCAAACAATCTTGTTCCAGAAATTAGTCTCTTCTGAAATTGAAGCACAACTCTTAATACAAGAACCGACTGTATAAACCCCATCCCCACTGCCTTTCCATATCAATCCATCGCTAGAATCAATAGATATAGAGAAAGAAGAAATGATGCTCACCAAATTGCACCATTGTTCAAGCTCCCAATCGTTTAAATTTCTTCGAACTTTAACATCCCATATCCAACCCGAAGAAATAAATTCCCCGAACTCACAAAGTTTACCGAATTTATTAGTTGACAGTGAAAACAGTCTAGAAAATAGAATCTGAAGTGGAAAATCAGCAGCCCAACTATCTTGCCAAAATCGAACATGCTTACCATTTCCGACATAAAACTTGCACAAACTACGAAACTTACAACCAAATGAGTCTTGTTTGAAATGGTTATTAACCACTGATCTCCACAACCAGGAGGATTGAGAAGGAATCTTGCTGTCAAACAACAGTCTAGAAGAGTCAATATTGTATTTGCTACAAATAAAATTCCTCCAAACAGAATTTCTCTCATTTGCAAACCTCCACGACCATTTCCCTAGCAATGCTCTGTTCATAAAAATCAGATTCCGAACTCCCAAGCCTCCCTCAGTCTTTGATTTACAGACATCATCCCATTTAACCCAGTGTATCTTCTTAATACCATTGCCCCCTCCCCATAAGAAATTAGACATAATAGAATTGAGAGTCTTGAGGATAGAAGCTGGAATCTTAAAAATAGACAAAAAATACGTAGGTAGTGAGGACAGAACGGATTTGATCAAAACCAGACTCCCTGCTAAAGAAAGAGTAGCAGCCTTCCAACCTGCTAATTTAGAGTGAAAATTTTGTACCACTGGTTCCCAGATAACAGAGGAATTCCTAGTTGCACCTAGAGGGAGGCCTAGATAATTAGATGGAAAGTTTCCCACCAAACAACCGATAGAATCTGCCCAAGTTTTAACCTGCTGTTGGGATATATTAATCCCGAATAGTCTGCTTTTCTTCAGGTTTAGTTGCAGCCCTGACATAACCTCGAATACTCTAAGCACCCTCTTCACATTCATAATTTGAGTCTTCGAAGCTCCACAGAAAATAATTAAGTCATCCGCAAACTGCAAGTGTGAAAGATTAAAAGACCCCTCCTCCTTTCCAACTGTCAAACCAGCAAATAAACCCTCCGAAACAGCTCTTCGAATTAAAAGATTCAATAATTCCCCCACTAGGTTAAAAAGTAAAGGCGAGAGTGAACATCCCTGTCTAAGACCCTTGGCCATTGGAAACTCCTCGGATGGAACCCCATTAACTAACACTGAGATTGAAGCTGTAGAAACACATCTCCTAATCCAAATTATCCATGTGAAACCAAAACCCATTTTTTCCATCACTTTGAACAAGATAGGCCAGTCAACCGTATCGTATGCCTTTTTGAAATCAACTTTAAACACACAACCCTTTAGCCCTTTCTTCCTCCAATAATCAATACCCTCGTTAGCAATGAGTGAGCAGTCCAAAATTTGTCTACCGGGAATAAAAGCGAATTGAGTCGGGCTTATAAGATCTTCTATACAACTTCTAAGCCTCCTTGAAAGACACTTGGATAATATCTTATACACTCCTCCTACTAGGCTTATAGGTCTATAATCATCAAGACTTCCAATGTTAGATTCCTTAGGAATAAGGGTAATAAAAGTATGGTTAATACCATGTTCCCATTCTTTCCCTACAAAAAATCTGTGAAAAAACTGCATAATATTCCCCTTAAGAACAGACCAAAACCTTTTAAAAAAACCCAAATTCAATCCGTCGGGCCCCGGAGCTTTATTACTATCACAAGACTTTAGAGTTTCCTAAACCTCCTCCTCGAAAAACTCCTTCTCTAAAAGCATATTCTGTTCAAAAGAAATTCTGGGGAAAACCAAACCAATATCTTCAACTTCTAAAGTAGACCGATCATTATAAATTTTGAAAAAATGATCTTTGACCTTGGCTTTAATAACAGTTGGATCGTGAGTAGTATTCCCATCAACAATTAAAGCATTCAGTGCATTTCGTTTCCTCCTAACTGAAGCACAAGTATGAAAGAATCTTGTGTTTCGGTCCCCATCATTAAGCCACTTCTTCCTAGAATTTTGAAGCCAAATCTGCTCCTCAATTCTGTGAAGTCTCCATAACTCTGCTCTACAAACACTAAGCTCTTTAGCAATCCCCTGAACAGAGCTGTTATTCAGCTGCTGGGCGTCTTCCTCAAGCTTCTGAATTTTCTTTTCCAAATCTGATATTGCTACTCCCGGAAATTGATTCTTCTTCCCTGACCATTTCTTGATGGCAGCTTTAGAGTTCTTCAAAATACTTAAGATCCCACCTTTTCTCCCAGTCTTCTTACAATCTGTGATAGAATGTCTGACCATATCCTCAAAGCCGTCTTCCTCCATCAGATAATTAAAGAGTCTAAACGGTCTTTTCCCCCAATCAATATCTTCATCTTTCAATAAAATAGCATTGTGATCTGAAAGGGATTTAGGAATAAGAGACTGAGAAATCTCAGGAAAAGTAGCTAAAAATTGACCATCCACCAAAAATCTGTCCAATCTAACAAAAGTTGGATCATCTTGGTTATTACACAAAGTGAACCTTCCCCCATTCAAAGGCAGATTAATCAAACCTAAAGACTGAATAAACTGAGAGAAAATCCTCATAGAGAACCTATTCTGTGCTTTACCCACCTTCTCATCTTCACACAAATAAACATTAAAATCTCCTCCAACACAAACTGGCAGGTTCTGTCCAGAGATGAACACAGTGAGTTCTTCAAAAAAACTCTCTTTTTCTTCCTCCACTGAAGGGCCATAAACATTAATGAGAACACTTCTGAATTGATGCAGCCTGAATTTCCCTACAACAGCAATGAATCTTCTGTTAATGCAGTGATTTTCCATCTCAAACACATTGTCATCCCAACAACATAATAAGCCCTCTGAAGAACCAATAGCTGGAGATTCAATAACACTCTGAAGATTATTCAGTCCATTCCTTCTCAGAAAAGACCTTTGAACCTTCTCTACTTTAGTTTCTTGTAACCAAAGAAAAGAAGGATATGAGGTAGAGACCAATCTCTGGACTGCTTTATGTTTTTCTCTTTTCCCCAAGCCCCTAACATTCCATGAAATTATTGCTAATTTGTCTTTCATTAAAATTTCTTGAGAACCTGAATTCCCCACTATGGCAACTCAACTGGCCAAATTCAAGCCCTGTTCTAATTTAATTATTTTGTCCAGAAAAGCTTCCTTCCCCTTAGTAAAAGAGACCCCCAAAATCTGACTCACTTGCCATGTGGCTACTGCTTCATCTAGAAGCTCTGAAAATTCTGTAGAAGAGGCTGTAGAAATATCGACATGTTCTAGAGCTTCTCTTACCAATGATCTTCTTTCCCTTCTTTTGCAAAATCCTGATTTGAAATTAATCAAATGACTGTCCGTCACACAACCCTCTGGCTCTCCATCGAGACTACTAATCCCAGCTTCAGAGTACCATACAAGAAAACAATACTGTTTTATAGTAACAAATAGATGGTTTTATTAAGGAATACTAGTAACTTGTATAATGCATTTGAAGGGGGGAAAAAACAATTCTTGAATGATAACAAAAAAACAGAACAACCGGTTACCTTATGAGTGACACTGCGTTGCAATTCCCGAGGCTTATCAGGGTCATACTGCATGGGTGGGTAGCTCTCCTTGCTAGGGGGGATAAGAGGTTCTTCCCATGTGGCAAAGTAAAGGTCCCCATCAAGATCACTTCCAGAAGCTTCATTCGTATGAGGCCTCTCACCGTTTTGAGGGAAGACCAGGCAGTCATGCAAGTGGTGTAAACCAGGGGCATCAACTGCTTCTAGAATTCTTATATCTCCAGGGTGAAGACAAGGATTCTTAGCGACAACCACCAGACCCTTAATTACTTCAAATATTTTATTTGTTTCAGCAAACCTAGAGCCGTGTTTCACGAAGCAGTTTTCTATAGATGGATTGGACACTTGGATAAAGCACTGACCTTGCTCAAGTACTCCTAGTTCATCCAAAACACCCATTAACCACCTGCCCGAATTAACAAAAATCCTAGTTTTTTCCCTAAGACCCCAAAGCTGAGATGCTCTTACACAAGTCAACATTCCTCGTAAATGAGGTTCTGTCTGAGGCTTGAAACCTGCGCTCAACATTATTGCCGGAGTATGCCCTTGATCACCACATGATGAAGTAAGGACTTCAAATGCTGCATCAGCGTCCACAAGGATTTTGTCTAACTTAGAAACCATGGCATTTTGCATTCCCCAAAATACTTCATCCGGCACACCCAGTGTTGAAAGCAATATAATAATTTGCCTATTCAGGAATCCAGGCTGAAATCTTGTCCAAGAACAGATTTCCAGAGTTGTGTGGTTAGACAGGAACTTATTCATACTGGATCGTAAAGAAAGACGAATCCCATCACCTTGTTCTGGCCAACAAGCCACGACCCCTTTATAACCAGCATATCTAATTTGATAAGCACAGGGAGGATTTAAGTCCAACTTCAATTTCTGAGCAACTTCCATTGCAAGATCGGGAGTAATCTTGCCAATCCCATCTGAGAAATCATATCCATTCCTCTTATATCCGGAAGACGCTTGTTAACCTGTGTTGAAGGAACTTCTACCGTTGCATATGTTGATGAGAAGCACTGACCCATCCTGGCAGCACATTTAGCAATATTCCGGTCTTTAAACTTCCCCATCCAAGTTGTAATCTGACTCACATTTATCTTCTCATCATCAGCAAAAAACCACGCAGAACGGTCTCTCAATTGATTGGCCGAGAAAGCAAGGAAAGAGTATTTGCGACCACACAAGTAAAATCCATCTGTAAGAATAGACCTTACCCTTTTGAAGACTCCTGTTTTATGAGAAAACGAGGTATATGTCACTTCCCTTACAATTGCAGCATTGTAGTAAGTGAGAACATTTGCATTCATCATCTGCATGCCTTCATCCATAAATGTGACCCTTAAAAACCGATCAGCAACATCTTTATATTTCCTGAGAACCCTATTAGAAAGCTCAACTTCCGGAAGAAGACAGTAAGCTTTTGTTGGAGTAATGACCAATCTTCTGATTTTGACAATATCATCCAACTGAGGAGGGATCCTAAAGAGGTTAGGATTCGTCAGCAGCCACTCGTGGACAACTTTCAGCCTATCATAGGCATCATACACTGGACGTCTAGAGGTATAGATGTGATTCAGTGCAGCAACATTGACCTCCATTGATTGATTTCTCAGTAGATTAAAGAAGTCCTCTGATAACTGATGCTGATTGAATATGCCTTTGTGCATTACAGCATTAACCAAAAACATTATTTCAAAAGGAATCCCTTCCTTGTAATCAATATAATGGAAGGGATCTGACATGGACCTCCCAAAATCATGTTCATTATGGATCCTAACTTGCAATCCGAGATTGGCCACTGGTACTCTTCGGTCTCTGAGATGATCCATGGCCTTCTCCAGCTTTGAACCGTGACGAGGACGGATTAAGACTTTGTATGTGTTACAACGACCAATAGCCCCACTTGCAGTAAAATCAGTGGTCCTGATCCACTGATCTTCATCATCCAACAGATCAAATGGAACTGACTCTTCAACGTCATCATCAGCAGTTCTATACCAGACCCAAGGTGATGAAGCCAACTGCAACAGCACTACTAAACAAGATTGTTCTGAATACTGCTTAATATCAATGATCTCCCTCGCCAAGAACTCCACCTTGAAGTCACATTTTATTACAGCATGATCGTTTGTGCCTTTGAACGAGAAGGCTGTATCTCTAGAGAAAAAAAATTTGCAGGTGTCATCAAAAGGATCCACAATAAAATCAACCCCAGAAGGTCCTCTCCAGCCAACAAAGAACTCATTCCAGCTAGCAAATGATCCAATCTCCAGGGAGACATCAGGTAGCTTAAAAGGTGTTTTATTCCTCCTGCGTCGATTCAAGTAAAAAGGATTCTCAGGACCCAAACTAACTTTCAATAGCTGATTGTTGAAAACAAGCTCAGAGCGACCAGCAGCATCCACAGCCCAATCTACTGTTAGAGGTGAGGCAAAATGAACAAAAGCATGAGGCTCCACCTTCTTATAGTCATCTATTCTTCGGATAACTGTGGTGTCAGTTATCTCAAAATTAGGATAGGATTCTGGTGGCGTCCATGAGGTCTTCAGTCTGCACCTCCAGACAAGGCCGACTTGATTGTCCAAGTAGTCCATCAGAGCTTTGGCTTTGACATGTCTGTCAAATCCACCAACACTAACTTGTGTCACCACAGTGTCCTCTGCACTTCCTTCTAACTCCATATATTTCAGAAAATTACCCACTTCGATTTGATATCCAACAAATTCCTGAAACAAAACCAGACACAACATATTCATGAAAAACATGATCCTAAGAAAAAGAACACAAATCAATAAAGCTGAACACAAACTTCAGTCATATCAATCAATTAAAATTACATTGCATTTTCCTTTTACAAAATAAGAATAGCACACTCAGCAACAATGCAGGGTAAGTAACACAGACTACATGCAGCCAAATGTTGCAAAGGTTAGAGCTTTATGCTTTGACAATTGCAGAAACAGATTATAACATGACAACCAAAACTCATAGAGCATCTTCTTCATGTTCTCAGATCAAGATGAAGAATCGTTAATAACAAAAGAACGGGCGATCTAACTTTTTTTTCTTCTTCTTCTTTTGTTGGAAATTAAAAGGGGAAATGAAAAATCAAAATATCCATCCTTAACTACTAGACTTCATCAAGGATTTACAATTTAACATTGCAAAAAACATCCGATTGATACAAAACATAATTCATTTCAGCTATCACTTGCAGCATGATATAGAGAACATTAATATAAAATATAAATATAAAGCCGGAGTGAGATTCCATTGTTTTAGGTAGAGAAAGCAGGAAACTTTAAAGAGACCATAACTAAAACAACATGATGCTTCAGTTTAATTGTCAACCCTATATCCATTAATCAGAAGACGAAATTCAACATGTTTATCTTCAACTAAATTACCTTACAGCCAAATGATCAAAGCAATCATTTAGTAAATGGCAGAAATCAGAACGAGAAGGATTCAAATTTGACACAATGTAATGAGTTTTGAAATACCCAAATCCAGTTTCCCAATTTTCTTTCAAACAGAAACGTGATCATTGCATTATAAGAAACCAAACAAAATTCATATTGAAAAAGAAAAAAATGGGTTGTAGGAAAAGGCTGATAACCTGAAAGAGTTTTTGGTTTGCAGAGTAAGAGAAAGACAGAGCAAAAGCAAAGTTTTTGTGAGCTTAGGGAGATGAATGAGGGTACGAAGGATCGACACGGTATATATAAGAAAGAAAGAAGTGTGCTTTTCTCGTGTGTAATTCACGAAGAAGTAGTTTTAGGAGTGGGACGAAGAGCTTCGATTCTTTATTCTGACTACTTGTTGGAGAAGGTTTTGGTTTCCCGCTTTTGCCTTTTTGCTTTATATATTTATTTTTGCTGTTTCGTTTCTTAGTCACTGAAAATGATTTGCTTTGATTTGAAGGAGAGTTGAAAATTGCTCCCAGTTTTAGCATTCCTTGTCCACAAAGTAGTTTCACTTGCCTTAAATAAAATTCAAGGTTGTTTAAAAAGTCATTTTATAATTAAACTTTAAAAATTACATAAATTATTATAATTCAATAATTTCATACGAATAATACCTATTTATTATTTTATTATATCTTAATTGATTTTAGAATAAAACAATATTTTATTAGTGTTATACGCTAATTAATTTTTAGAATAAAAATAATGATTTGTTCTAATACATATTAGAAAGATTAGTTGTTTTATAAATCTAATTAAAGTAATATTTTACTAAAACCGAAAGAAATCTAAATATGGATTCGCTCGTTGAATCGTCGCGTTTTTTCAAACGTCGTGTTTATTAACTATTAAAATGTAATATAATTTAAAATTATATTTAATTAATAACTGTATTTTATGATGTATTTTATTGAATTAAGTGTAATTGCATTTTTTATTTTATTATTATTTACACATTAATGGATATTTTATAACGCGAAATATATATTATAACATGCCAGTTTTTAGAAAATAAACCTAAAAATAAACTTCTATATTTTCATATAGTTACATTATAACGTCTAAATAATAACTTAAAATATCCTCCTTTTTTTTAAAAAAAGTAAACATGTTTGATTGCAATCTTCTATGATTTTTCATATAAAAATATTTTTTAAAATATTATTTAATATACTAATTGTTTTTAATAATAATTTCTGAAAAGTAACTAGAAATACAATCTAATACTTTAAATCCTGGGCCCAAGATGGCTGTTTAAGGACCGTAGGCGTTAACAGTCAGATAGGTGCAGTGCGGAGCAGCGGGAGATGGTAAATAATAAGAAGTAGCTAGGGTACTTTCGGAAATAAATTAAAATTTCCTAATGTTTAAAAAGATCAGTCTAAAAAAAAGCTCCAAATATATATATATATATATATAAATATCTTTCATTTTTAGAGAGCTAACCATTTCTTGCTTTGCAAACGCTACAAACCCTAACCCTAGTACCTTCAATTTCCCCCCAGTTTTAATTAAGTTCAAAGGTAAACCTCTCGAAGGCAGCTTTCCTTGGAACCCTAGCTTCTCGATCTTATGTTATTTTAAAGCCCTAACATTTGTTGTTTTATTGGGATTTTGTAGATAAATGGGAGAAACAAGGGACAACGATGCCTACGAGGAGGAGCTTCTAGACTACGAGGAAGAAGAAGAGAAAGCACCTGACTCTGTCACTGCTAAAGTCAATGGCGAGGGAGGCAAGAAGTAAGTTTGACTTCATTTATAATGTTCGCTTTCCGTTTGTTCCGTTCAACTGTTAATAAATGTTTTTGAAATAATTTAAAATTTCACTGGATGGAGAAAGAATAGAAGTTATTTTGTTTTTCTTTTGTATGTGATGGTAAATAATCAACGGGGAAGGGCTTTCGTTCTGATTTTTCTGTTTCTTTGTTTTTTTAGGGGCTATGTTGGCATACACAGTTCAGGATTCAGAGACTTCCTTTTGAAACCCGAGCTTCTTCGGGCCATTGTTGACTCTGGATTTGAGCACCCTTCAGAAGGCAAACCCACGACTCTCCTTCCGTTTTTATATTTGTTAGCCTTATATACGATTCCATATTTAAAGTCATGGTTAAGTTAAATCTCATAGATGACTTGTTTTTTTGGCTGTTTAATATGTTATTATTTTCCATGTATGGGGCATTATATGGTAACGTTTGATTTTTAAATGCTTTCTTGTATGAAAAATTCTGGTCTAAATTTTTTTGTTTGTTGCATTATTTTTACAGGTAATATACCACTATCATATAGTTTCGATTAAATGGATCACGGAGGTTATATTTTACTTACCATGGATTCCTTCAATGCACTTTTCTTTGGTTCTACACTAGTACAACATGAATGCATTCCCCAAGCTATATTGGGTATGGATGTCATTTGCCAAGCTAAATCAGGGATGGGAAAGACTGCAGTTTTTGTTCTATCAAGCCTACAGCAAATTGAACCTAGTCCAGGACAAGTTATTGCACTTGTTTTATGCCATACTAGGGAGTTAGCTTACCAGGTCAGAACAAGTTCTGCATTCTTCTTTTCCCCTCAAGTTATATGATATACGTCAACTCATTTTATTGTCCTCTTTTAGATTTGTCATGAGTTCGAGAGGTTCAGTACTTATCTGCCCGATATCAAGGTTTCTGTCTTCTACGGAGGTGTCAACATCAAAGTTCACAAAGATCTATTGAAAAATGAATGTCCCCACATTGTTGTTGGGACGCCTGGAAGGATATTGGCTCTGACAAGAGATAAAGATCTTTCTTTGAAGAATGTGAGGCATTTCATTCTCGATGAATGTGACAAGATGCTTGAATCACTTGGTATGATTTTCTTAACCTGAATCTGGATAAGGGTTTGGTTTTTTCGATGTTTAATTTCCCTTTGCTATTCCCTCTGGTATTTATTCTACTTATCTTCTGCAGACATGAGGAGAGATGTGCAGGCGATATTCAAAATGACCCCTCATGATAAGCAAGTTATGATGTTTTCTGCAACCCTCAGCAAAGAAATTCGCCCAGTTTGCAAGAAATTTATGCAAGATGTAATTTTCCATGGCCAATACTAGAATTTAGAAGTATATTTTTAATTCATGTCCAGCTTCCTCTGAGAGTTTTGTAAAATTGTACATCTGGTGGGTCCATCTCTATATGCTTGCCCGGTGGTGTTTGCGTGGGTGCAGTTGCTTCAGCTAGTTATTCATGGTTTATGCACAGATTGAATGGGACAGGTTAATGGTTAAGTCATAAGTTTGCACTGTTTGGGGTTTCAAAGTGGTGGATTTCTGTGAGCTGATTTGTTATATTTTAGTTTAATTTTGTTTCAGTTCTCTGTTTAGGCTATCGATATGGATTTAGAGGTGGGGATGGATAGAGGGGTTAGGCATTTCCTTTTTTTTTTGGGGGGGGGGGTGCATGCTGTGTCTGTCATGTAATAGAATCTTTGTTTTAAAGGGAAAGCAGCACATGCTTTCTGCGATTAAGAAACAAATCTGCAAGGAGGCAAGGCTTATGGACCAGAATCTCAATTCAAGGATGTGCATGCATAATTCATATCGTACTGGATTCCTTTTGCTTGACGAACCTCCCTAATATGATTTACTGTGACATTTGTTCCTTTCAGCCGATGGAAATTTATGTTGATGATGAGGCCAAGTTGACCCTTCATGGTCTCGTACAGGTATCTGAATCTGACTCATTCCCTTCAGCTTTTAGTTTGTTTTAAAAGATTGTTTAAGATGTTTATTAGGAGAATGCTTCCGATTACAGCATTACATCAAATTGAGTGAGATGGAGAAAAATCGCAAGTTGAATGACCTCCTTGATGCGTTGGACTTCAATCAAGTTGTTATATTTGTCAAAAGTGTGAGCCGAGCAGCTGAGTTGAACAAGTTACTTGTGGAGTGCAACTTCCCTTCTATTTGCATTCACTCTGGCATGTCCCAGGAAGAAAGGTTTGTACCTATCAGCATCATCTTTTATTCTTTCTACATTGAGCTTTTTTGTATGGGAATGACTTGCCAACTTTATATTCTTGTAAACTAAATTGCTTAGGGGACTTCAACTTGTGAGGATCTTTATTAAAGGTTTTAAAGCATGTTTTTCTGTCATGTTTTTTTAGTGCTCTGGGTATGGTGGTTTGGTTGCTTATTTCATCTATTCTGCTACAGTGGATTTTGGATTATGTGACCTGACCTTCCCCCCCCCTCTTTTTTTCCCTTTATAAGAGTAATGCAAAGTAGATGTTAAGTAGCACCCCTTTTGACTTGATTTATGTTTTGAGTTGGTATTATTTCCTGTGACCCAAATTTAGGTACCTTGTTTTAGGGTCTGTCTGGTGTGTCTAATGTTCATTTATTTATGTTTACTTGTATAGAGAATCAGGTTTCTTTTTCTGCTTGAGTCTCCCAAAGGGTAGTTTTCCTTTATTTAATTTGATGTGGTTTGACAATTGATGATTTGTAGGTTGACTCGCTACAAGGGTTTCAAGGAGGGGCATACAAGAATTCTTGTAGCTACAGATTTGGTTGGAAGGGGAATTGACATTGAACGAGTTAACATTGTCATCAATTATGACATGCCTGATTCTGCTGATACATACCTGCACAGGGTAAGTTTTGTTTTGACTACATTACCTTCGTAGTTTTGCTTCTAAATGTAACCCGTGGTTAACCATACAAGGTTGGTAGAGCTGGTAGATTTGGCACCAAGGGTCTTGCAATTACATTTGTTTCATCTGCTTCGGATTCTGATGTGCTCAACCAGGTCGGGATATTTAGAACTTCCGAACTTATTGTCTCCTGATGTATCGTCTATTCATGTTATTCAATCCGTTGCAGGTCCAGGAGAGGTTTGAGGTGGATATAAAAGAGCTTCCTGAGCAAATTGATACATCTACTTACAGTATGTTTCCTTTAATGGCTTCCTATACAAAGTATAGTTGGACATATATGTTTCTTGTCAGTAGTTCAAGGCATAATCGTTTATTGGAAAATTTTTTTGCTGTACTAATTGCTGCAATTGGTTTTTGGTTGTCGTAACCACGTCGACAGTGAAGAAGCTTTCTTTATGTTTCCCTTTCTGTATGATATAGTCATTATATTGCTCTTTGTTCATTGGTTAATAACCAAGATTTTCTACTGCTTAACGATTTTATTTTGTGTGTAGTGCCATCATAAAGGTTTGTTCGATGGTTGCCGAGTTTTTAGTCCAAATCATGAATTGATCTGTGGCGTTGCTGTAGACCATGTGTATTTGTTCTTAA